AAGAAGACAGAGACAGCTTTAACCTGCACTGAGGGTATACAGTCAGAGGGAGCCCAAGTACTGTCAAAGGAGTGATTCTGCTGTGTAAGCACACAGCCAGCAAAGGGAGATCAAGTACAGACAGTGCATGGTAAAAAAAAAAAAAAAATACAGTGGAAAAGCAGATATCCAGGAGGGTGTGTAGTTCAACAGGACAGAAGTAAAATGGCAACTCTTCTGGGCAATGTTAGTGAATTTGAAGAGAACCATGAATCATGAGTTGTGTACTTCAAGCATTTTGAGCGATTTGTGACCTGCAATTCCATTCCAGATGTACGAGTTTCAACCTTGCTGACAGAGATGGGTCCTCGGGCATACAGACTGCTGCATGATCTACTATATCCAGCTATGCCTGGAACTGCCACAGTTACTGCAGTTACTGCAGCAATGCAGGAATATTTCTCTCCTACCCATCAATAATAGCAGAATGACAGCGGGTCCATCAGAGACATCAGGAAAGAGGAGAGTCAGTGAAACAGTTTGTTGCTCCTCTAAAGACAGTGCTCAGAGCATTGTGAGTGTGGAGAAACATTAAGTGATGCCTTGTGTCACCAGTTTGTCTCTGGATTACACGACTAGATCCAGAAGAAGTTACTGATTACCTGTATATCAGTGTTATATTCAAGAAGGCTATTGAGGTAGCTATTGCCATGGAAACCACAGAGGATTCTCTGGAATTTAGTGTGAACCAAGAGGTACATCTCATGAATTGGTGAGACAGAGGACCATGAGAACGCAAGTAATTTCTGTTTGGCCATTGTGCACAAACTGCACATGCTAAGAAGGATTGCTGGGCATATCTGGTCATTTGGAGAAAGTGCCAGAAGAAAGGAAACATTGTGGTTACCTGTTGCACTGTTCAACATCCAACAACACAGAGTAACCATCCATCCAAGAGCACATGTCTGAAGACCGAACCTAAGAAAGTATAGAAGTTGGGAATTCATAATGTGGAAAAAGTCAAGAGCTGTAGTGGCACTGACCAAACCATAGCACTTCATATGTTATTGGAAGCTGGAGAAAGAGATGTCATCTGGGTCACACCACTGATTTCTGCATCTGCCATCACCCTACTTTTTCAGAAGTTCCTCTGGAAGAAAACTCTCCAGTTTTGAAGACTTTTATACCAGGGAAAAGTTAAGAGATACTCCTTGTATGTGACTGAAGTAAAGTATCCATCGCTATTTGGCAGGACTTGGCTTGAGAAGCTCAAGGTGAATTGGACCAAGATCAAGGTGATCATAAAAGCATCTCAAAATCTTCAAGAAATACTGGACAGACACTCCAAAGCTTTTGAAAAAGAATTTGGACAGATAAGCAACATGTCAGTGAAGTTCACTGATAAGTCTAACAGCCAGATGAAATATTGCACACTCAGAGTTGCACTTTATGTTCTGACACCTCTGGTGGAAGTTCATTTGGACCGTTTAGTGAACATCGGAGTTGTTTTACACACAGTGAGTGGGCTACCCATTGTATCAGTGATCAAGAATGATGGCTCCATTCGAATTTGCAGAGATTTCAAAGTGACAGTGAATCCAGTTTTATGTGCAGATCAGTATCCTACTTCCTTGTACCAAAGATTTGTTTGCTACTCTTAGTGGAAGACAGTGTTTCAGCAAATTGGATTTGTTTAATGCATACCTACAAATAGATTCATAGATGGATAGACTTTAAGGTCAGAAGGGACTGTCGGGATCATCTAGTCCGACCTCCTGCACATTGCAGGACACTGACCCTCACCCACCCACTATCCTGTGGCTGAGTTACTGAAGTCCTCAAATTATGGTTTAAAAAATTCAAGTTACAGAGAATCCACCATTTACACAAGTTTAAACCTGCAATTGACCTCTGCCTCATGCCTCAGAGGAAGGCAAAAAATACCCAGTCTTTGCCAATCTGACCTAGGGGAAAATTCCTTCCCAACCCCTCATATGGCAATCATTTAGACCCTGAGCATGTGGGAAAGACTCATCAGGCATATACCTGGGAAAGAATTCTCTGTAGTAACTAAGAGCCCTCCCTATCTCGTGCCCCATCTCTGGCAATTGGGGATTTTTGCCACATGCCATTGTAGACAGTCCCATCATACCATCCCCTCCCTAAACTTACCAAGCTCAATCTTGAAGCCAGTTAGATTTTTTGCCTCCACACTGCTCCCCTTGGAAGGCTGTTCCTGAACTTCACTGCTCAATGGTTAGAAACCTTCATCTAATTTCAAGCCTAAACTTGTTGATGGCCAGTTTGTATCCATTTGTTTTTGTGTCTACATTGGTGCTTAACTTAAATAACTCCTCTCCGTCTCTGATATGTATTTAGAGAGAGCAATCATATCTCCCCTCAAGCCAAGCTCTTTGAGTGTCCTCTCATAGGGTAGGTTTTCCATTTCTTAGATCATCCTAGTAGCCCTTTTCTGCACCTGTTCCAGATTGAATTAATCTTTCTTAAACATGGGAGACCAGAATTGCACACAGTATTCCAGATGTGGTCTCACCAGTGCCTTCTATAATGGTACTAACACTTCCCTGCCTCTACTGGAAATACCTCTCCTGATGCATCCTAGGACTGCATTAGCCTTTTTCACAGCCACATCACATTGACAGCTTATAGTCATCCTGTGATCAACTAATACACCTAGCTTATATCATAGCTTATTTTGCTATCAGTTGCCGTTAGGGAAGATGCTAATGTGATACCAGTTCTAGAAGGCCATGGATAAAATTCTGAAGGGACTGAATGGAAATCAGTGCTATTTGGACAACATCCTTGTTACAGGAAAGGAACAGCAAAGCAAGATCATCTTCAAAATTTGGATGCTGTCTTGCAACATTTGGAAGACAATGGAGTGAGAGTATGTCAAGACAAAGATGAGCTTTTTTTTCAAACCTTTAGTTGAATACATTCGGCATGGAATTGATGTGATGGGCTAAAGGAAATTGCCAAAGAAAGAGAAGGCAATTCTTCAAGCACTACCGCCAGAGAACATGTCACAGTTGCATTCATTCTTAGGACTGCTTAATAACTACGGTAAATTTCTGCCTAAACTGGTGACAGTATTTGCATCTTTGCAGGAACTGTTACAAACAACAAATGGAAATGGACTAAAGAATGTGTGTGTACATTTAAGGAGGCAAAGAAACTGTTGGGATCAGTCGAAGTTCTCACTTTGATGCCTCATTACCATTGCAATTGGCTTCTTATGCTTCACCATATGGAGTGAATGGTGTTCTTTTCCATATTTTTGCTGACAACAGAAAGAAACCAATTGCCTTTGTTTCACAAACACTCACCACCCTTGAGAAGAACTATGTACAAACAGAGCAAGAAGCTCTCAGCATTATCATCAGAATTTGGATGTTCCATACCTGTCTGTATGGTAGACATTTTACCTTGCTAACAGATGACCACCCATTATTTTCAATTTTTGGACTGAAACGTGGCTCCATCATTAGCTGCTGTTCATCTGCAACAATGTGTGTTACTACTTTCAGCTGATTTCTATACTATTCAGTTATATAAAGGGACTCGGCATGGCAATGATGATGGGCTGTCATATCTGTCATGCCCAAGCTCCTGTCAATCCAAAGAAACTTCAGACGGAGTGTTTTATCTCAAATGCGAGGGATAGATTGCCTGTCAGTAGCACAAAGAAACTGTTAAGGATGATGTGCTTTCTCTTGTGAAGAGAATGGTACTACAAGGTACAGCGTTGGATCTTATGAATCCCCAGTTTACACAATTTGGGTTGTGTCAGCCTGAATTATCTGTGGATCAAGGTTGCATCTTATGGGGAATCTGAGTTATCCTTCCAGAATCAGTTCAGTCTCATGTTTTAGAAGCTCTTCATGATGGTCATTTTGGCACTGTATGGATGAACGCTATAGTCTGGAGGTCTGTCTGGTGGCCAGGGGTAGATGAAGACATTGAGAGGAAGGTGAAGTGCTGTACTACATGTCAGCAAATTCAGCATGATCCTGGCCCAGCATATTTACACCCTTGGTTCTGGCCTCAGATTCCTTGGAGGACACATGTTCATGTGGACTTTGCTGGACCATTAGAATATTTTTTATATATATATATATATATATATATA